AAAAAAAAAAAAAAAAAAAAAAATACAATAACTATCTGGGCCTGGTGGCGCCTGCCTATAGCCCCAGCTACTCTGGAGACTGAGGCAGGAGAATTGCTTGAACCCAGGAGGTGGAGGTTGCAGTGAGCCAAGATTACGCCACTGCACTCTAGCCTGACGACATAGTGAGACCCTGTCTCAAAAATAAAATAAAAATAAAATAAATTTAAAAATAAATAAAAATTTGTTGGGCCATGTGCAGTGGCTCACTCCTATAATTGCAGCACTCTGGGAAGCCAAGGTGGGCAGATCATTTGAGCTCAGGACTTTGAGACCAACCTAGGTAACATAGCAAGACCCTGTTTCTACAAAAATAAAAATGAGTTTTTTTTTTTTTTTTTAATTAAAAAATAAATTTGGCCAGGCGCTGTTGGTCACACCTATAATCCCAGCACTTTTCAAGGCTGAGGCAGGCGGATCACCTGAGGTCAGGAGTTGGAGACCATCCTGGCCAAGATGGTGAAACCCTGTAAAAATACAAAAATTAGCCAGGTGTGGTGGTGAATGCCTATAGTCCCAGCTACTTGAGAGGGTGACGCAAGAGAATCCCTTGAACCCGAGAGGTGGAGGTTGCAGTGAGCCAAGATTCCACAACTGCACTCCAGCATGGGCCACAGAGTGAGATTCCATCTCAAAATAAATAAATAAATAAAAATTTATTTATTGGTGATATACACGTATAAATTGCTCCTTAAGAATTCAGCAAAGTATGTTAAATATAAGCAACAACAATAGTAATAATGTTTTCTTAGAAATGTGTATTAAACATTAAACTGCTTGAGTAATGTTCCAAATTTGGGGTAGATTTTAAAAGAAACGATTTTTTTGGCCAGGCACGGTGGCTCATGCCTATAATCCCAGCACTTTGGGAGGCCGAGGCAGGCGGATCACAAGGTCAGGAGTTTGAGACCAGCCTGGTCAACCTGGTGAAACTCCGTCTCTGCTAAGGATATAAAAATTAGCTGGGTGCAGTGGCAGGTGCCTGTAATTCTAGCTACTCAGGGGGCTGAGGCAGGAGAATTGCTTGAACCTGGAAGGCAGAGTTTGCAGTGAGCCAAGATCATGCCACTGCACTCCAGCCTGGGTGACAGAGCAAGACTCTGTCTTGGGGGGAAAAAAAAAAAAAAAAAAGATTTAAAAAACAAGATTACTAGGTCTTGAGCAATGATTAATATTAGCTATTTTCATAATATAAAAATTATGAGCACTCAATCTGTATTGGGCATGTGTATTAACACTCTGAAGTCCATGTGAATTGTTCTTCATTTTACAAATTGGGGAACTACAGAAAAAACTTAAGTGTTGTATCTAGGGTCACTTAGGTATGAAAGAAAGCCAGGATTTAAACTTAGGTTTGTGTTACATGTAAACCCACACTCTTAACTCAAGTACTGTTTCTATATGTGATACAGGCTTGAGTTTTTATAGAAATGCTTATCTTCACCATATACGTTATAATCATGTTTGAAAGTAAGAATGGAGGCCAGGCATGGTGGCTCACGCCTGTAATCCCAGCACTTTGGGAGGCCAAGGTGTGCAGATCACAAGGTCAGGAGATCGAGATCATCCTGGTCAACATAGTGAAACCCCGTCTCTATTAAAATACAAAAAATTAACCAGTCGTGGTGGCTCGTGCCTGTAATCCCGGCTACTCGGAAGCCTGAGGCAGGGGAATCTCTTGAACCCAGAAGGGGGAGGTTGCAGTAAGCTGAGATTGTACCCCTGCATTCTAGCCTGGCAACAGAGGAAAACGAGTCTCAAAAAAAAAAAGAAAGAAAGAAAATAAGAGTGGAGGGAATACGCCCGGGCACAGTGGCTCATGCCTGTAATAATCCCAGCACTTTGGGAGGCTGAGAGGCAGGTGGATTACCTGAGGTCAGGAGTTCAAGACCAGCCTGCCCAACATGGTGAAAACCCATCTCTACTAAAAATACAAAAATTAGCGCAGTGTGGTGGCAGACACCTGTAATCCCAGCTAGTTGGGAGGCTGGGGCGGAAGAATCACTTGAGCCTGGGAGGTGGAGGTTACAGTGAGTCGAGATCCCGCCATTGCACTCCAGCCTGGGTGACAGAGCGAGACTCCAAAAGAAAAAAAAATGTGGCCAGGCGCAGTGGCTCATGCCTGTAATCCCAGCACTTTGGGAGGGTGAGGTGGGTGGATCACGAGGTCAGGAGTTCAAGACCAGCCTGGCCAAGTTGTTGAAACCTCGTCTCTACTAAAAATACAAAAATTAGCTGGGCACAGTGGCACACGCCTGTACTCCCAGCTACTCAGGCTGAGGCAAGAGAATCGCTTGAACCTGGGAGGCAGAGGTTGCAGTGAGCCGAGGTCGCGCCATTGCACTCCACCCTGGGTGGCAGAGTAAGACTCCATCTCAAAAAAAAAGAAAAAATAGGAGAGAATACTTAGGTACCTGGTAGTTTGAGAGTATTTCTAGCTTATATATTATGGTATTTTTTTTTTTTTTTTTTTGAGATGGAGTTTCACTCATGTTACCCAGGCTGGAGTGCAATGGTGCGATCTCGGCTCACCACAACCTCCGCCTCCTGGGTTCAGGCAATTCTCCTGCCTCAGCCTCTTGAGTAGCTGGGATTACAGGCACGCGCCACCATGCCCAGCTGATTTTTTTTGTATTTTTAGTAGAGACGGGGTTTCACCATGTTGACCAGGATGGTCTCGATCTCTTGACCTCGTGATCCACCTGCCTCGGCCTCCCAAAGTGCTGGGATTACAGGTGTGAGCCACCGTGCCCGGCCTATTATGGTATTTTTTGCTTATACAAAATATTTGAATCATGAGTAATAACCTGCTTTTACGTTTTTTTCCTTCCCCAGAGGATAAAGCTCCTCCTTCCTCCCTTTTAGTTCATAAGCTTATTTTCCAGTACATTGAGGAAAAGGAATCCTGGAAGAAGACATGTACAACACAGCATCAGGTACCCAAGGTAAAGTCTGATTGAAGTATTTAAAGGAAAATTTGTATTATCTTTCCAAAAAAAAAAAAAAAGCAGAATTGAAACTTTACATATTAATAATGGATCCTGAAATGATAAATGTATTCAATTGTTTAACTTGTTTGAGTTCTTATAAGTGAGCCACCAAGCATTGGAATGTTTTCATAATTTCATTGGATTTTTTTTTTTTCCATTTTTTTTCTAGATGCTTGAAGAATTCTCACTGGTAGTGAACCACTGCAGACTCCTTGGAGAGGAGATTGAGTATTTAAAGACATGGGGACCAAATTATAACCTAATGAACATAGATGTTAATAATATTGAGTAAGTATATTAGTTCCTAAGGACTGCCACGACAGAGTACTACAAATTGGGTACCTTAAACAACAGGAATGTATTGTCTTACGGTTCCGGAGGCTGGAAGTCTGAGATCAAGGTATAAGCGGTGTGGTTCTTTCTGAGGGCTGTTAGAATCTTTCTGAGGGCTGTTAGAAGGAATCTTCCATACCTTCTCCCAGTTCCCAATGTCTGGTGGTTTGCTGGCAATCTTTGGCATTCCTTGGCTTGTAAATGTATAACCTTGATCTCTGCCTTCATCTTCACATGGTGTTCTTTCATTGTGCATGTCTGCATTCACATTCCTCATCCCCCGGCCTTTTGTTTTTTTTGAGACAGAGTCTTGCTTTGTTGCCCTTGCTCTGCCACCCTGGGTAGAGTGTAATGTCACGGTCTCCTCTCACTGCAACCTCTGTCTCCTGGATACAAGTGATTCTCCTGCCTCAGCCTCCAGAGTAGCTGGGATTACAGGCGCCAGCCACCACACCTGGCTAATTTTTGTATTTTTAGTAGAGACGGGGTTACACCATGTTGACCAGGCTGGTCTCAAACTCCTGACCACATGATCTGCCTACCTCAGTCTCCCAAAGTGCTGGATTACAGGTGTGAGCCACTGCACGACCAGCCCACATTTCCCCTTTTTATAAGGACGCTAGTCACAGGGGATTAGGGGCCCACCTTACTCTAGTAGGACTTCATGTTAACATATTACTTGTGTAGTGTCCCAATTTCCAAATAAGATCACATTCTGAGGTATTAGGGGTTTGGAATTCAACATATGAATTTTGGGGAATACAGTCCAACCCAACAGTAAGTACTTGGTCAACAGTTTATTAAATTAATATATATATATTCATTTTATTTAATAAAAAATATATAATAATAAAGAATATATACATATATTTTGAGTCAGAGTCTCGCTCTGTCACCCAGGCGGGAGTGCAATGGCGTAATCTTCAGCTCATGGTAACCTCCACCTTCCGGGTTCAAGCTGTTCTGCCTCAGCCTCCCAAGTAGCTGGGATGACAGGCTCCCACCACCATGCCCAGCTAATTTTTGTATTTTTAGTGCAGACGGGGTTTCACTGTTACACAATATTGGTCAGGCTGGTGTCTTAGCCAGGCTGGTCTCGAACTCCTGACCTCATTATCTGCCCACCTCAGCCTCCCAAAGTGCTGGGATTACAGGCATGAGCCACCACACCTGGCCTTAAATGAATGTATTAATGCATTTCATGACTAGCAATGAAAAAGCAGTCATTATAATATCTTGCTCCAGATGTTTTGCCTTTGCTCACTAGATAAGGATAAGAAATAATGGGCCAGGCATGGTGGCCCACACCTGTAATCCCAGCACTTTGGGAGGCCAAGGTGTGCTAATCGCTTGAGGCCAGGAGTTTGAGACCAGCCTAGCCAACATGGCGAAATCCTTGGTTTTTGGCTGGGCTCAGTAGCTCACGCCTGTAATCCCAGCACTTTGGGAGGTGAAGCAGGTGGATCGCTTGAGGTCAGGAATTTGAGACAATGTGGCCAAACAAGGTGAAACCCCATCTCTACTAACAATACAAAAATTAGCTGGGCGCTATGTCGCACACCTGTAATCCTAACTATCGGGAGAATAGCTAGAACCTGGGAGGTGGAGTTGCTATGAGCTAAGATTGTGTACACACCAGCCTGGGTGACACAGCAAGACTTCATCTCAACAAAGAAGAAATTGTGTTTCATGCTATGATTGTATTGCATTTTTAATTATGGATTTTGTCTTTACAGATTGAAACTTTTATTCTCTAGCTCTGCAGCATTTGCAAAGTTTGAAATAACTTTGTTTCTATCAGCCCATTATCCATCTGTACCATTACTTTTCACCATTCAGAATCATATTGGGAACACTAGGTAAGTAAAGGGCCAACAGGCTGAGACATTGGACTACTTTTTAATGTTGTTTATTTTATTTGAAAGATTCCTCAAAGTGGTAAGCAAATCAGTGGATCATAGTGGAGCTAAAAGTCAGTTCTCTGACTTCATTTTGAAGAATTTTTTCTTAAAGTCAGTGACCTTCATTGCTATCTCCAGTGGATGCTGGAGACCACTGGTCTGTTCTTTTATTACCTGCTTCACTTTTTGAACACTCCAACCTAAAAAATGAATCAAGAAGGAAAAAATTCAATGTAAGAGTAGTACAGATTATATGTAAACGACTTTTATGGCCTTAAAAACAGAGTTAGGGCTGGATATGATGGCTCACGCCTGTAAGCCCAGCACTTTAGGAGGCAAAGGTGGGCAGATCACTTGAGCTTAGGAGTTCCAGACCAGCCTGGCCAATACAGTGAAACACTGCCTCTACTAAACATACATAAATTAGCTGGGTGTGGTGGCGAGCATCTTTAGTCCCACTAATCCTGGGGCTGAGGTGGGAGGATTGCTTGAGCCTGGGAGGTGGAGATTGCCATCAGCCAAGATCATGCCACTGTCTCAAAACAAAACAGAGTCTGTGGAACCAGACCTAAAAATGTCTCATTCCTCCTAGGCTGTGATGTATTTTGTGACTTTTTTTTTTTTTTTTTGAGATGGAGTTTCGCTCTTGTTACCCAGACTGGAGTGCAATGGCGCAATCTTGGCTCACCGCAACCTCCGCCTCCTGGGTTCAGGCAATTCTCCTGCCTCAGCCTCCTGAGTAGCTGGGATTACAGGCACGTGCCACCATGTCCAGCTAATGTTTTGTATTTTTAGTAGAGATGGGGTTTCACCGTGTTGACCAGGATGGTCCCGATCTCTTGACCTCGTGATCCACCTGCCTCGGCCTCCCAAAGTGCTGGGATTACAGGCGTGAGCCACCGCGCCCGGCCCATATTTTGTGACTTTTTAGACACACTGCTGACAGATTGGAAGATAGCAGAGTTAAAAATGTGCTCACCGGCCGGGCGCGATGGCTCAAGCCTGTAATCCCAGCAGTTTGCGAGGCCGAGGCGGGTGGATCACGAGGTCAAGAGATCGAGACCATCCTGGTCAACACGGTGAAACCCCGTCTCTACTAAAAATACAAAACATTAGCTGGACATGGTGGCACGTGCCTGTAATCCCAGCTACTCAGGAGGCTGAGGCAGGAGATTGCC